GGGGTGAAATACTGTAGGTGCACTTTAAATGTAAATCTTTAAGTTGTTTTTAGATGTGGCTTATCTCAATACACTGAAATACAGAAAAGTGTCAGACAAACTTGTATTAGACTATTTTTGACTTCATCTGTCCACATATATCAGTGTTGGGCATATACAGTTGAAGTCAGAATTATTAGCACCCTTTGAATTTTCTTTTCTTTTTTAAATATTTCCCAAATGATGTTTAACAGATTAAGAAAATTCTCACAGTTTGTCCAATAATATATTTTCTTCTGGAGAAAGTTTTGTTTGTTTTATTTAGGCTAGATTAAAAGCAGTTTTTAATTTTTTTAAAAAACCATTTTAGGGACAAAATTATTAGCCCCTTTAGGCTATATATATTTTTCGTTAGTTTACAAACCATCATTATTCAATAACTTGCCTAATGACCCTAACCTGTCTAGTTAACCTAATTAACATTTAAGCCTTTAAATGTCACTTTAAACTGTATAGAAGTGGCTTGAAAAACACCTAGTAAAATATTATTTACTGTCATCATGGTAAAGATAAAATAAATCAATAGAAATGAGTTATTAAAACTATTATGTTTAGAAATGTGCTAAAAAAAATCTCTTTGTAAAACAGAAATTGTGGATAATTAAACGGGGGCTAATAATTCAGGGGGCTAATATTTCTGACTTAAAATGTACATGCTTGATAATTAATGATGGTTGTCACTTAATTGGTTTTGTGTGAGACAGCGAGTCTGTATTTCTGTATTTGCTGTAAATTGCTCAACAAATAGTTGAAAGTCTTTTCAATGCATGTATTGTAAAAAAGACTTTAATGTATTTGTGAAACACTTTTATTAAATGAAAATTTAAAACACTCTGGAACACCGAAACAGCTAACAAAACCTTACAAAGACAAATCGCAGTAAACTGAAAGATTGTACATTTATTAATACACTGACGGATATATCATTAGTTGTAGCTTCAATTTATTATTATGTAAATGACAAAATGTTTATTCATTTTAACTATTTAATGTTGTTCAAGAAATCCAATGTTTTGTACACTCAACTTAAAAACTTTGAGTTTTGCAACTTTGCAGTGCCGTTTACGTACGTTCATGAGCTGATCTTTCTGATGTAAATATAAAAACAGGTCGAGTGAGGTTTACGACAAGATTCTGGTTAAACGAATGAGTTAAAGTTGGAAAGTTTGGATCTACAATTCGTCATGGATTTACATTAGAACTATCAGAAGAGTTCAAATCACTTTGGTTACAGCATGCTGGTGATGAGCTGGTACTGCTTGTTATTGAGTCAATCATGTTTAATAGAGGAATTTGTGCAGAAAAATGACCTTACACATGATACTGTTCTGCCAATCAAAGAGATGCAGTGACCAGATGTTTAGCTTCGTAGATGACAACACCTTACTCTCTTCAAATAGTTAAATATTGACAAATACATCCAATATTTGCCATCTTTTATTTGATTGAGTCATTTGCATTGCTTCAAGGGATTGTACGTTTTTCCCTCAGCAATGACGTAGTCTTTTACTGATTTCCATACATTTGCTTCATGACACAGTTCTGAATGATGCACTCAGAAATTCAGGCCTTAAAGAAAGTTTCTCACTAGTGCTTAAAAGTTTGTAGTAATGTGGTGCATTCAATTCAAGTAAGATCTTGCAAAACACAAAATAGAGATGAATAGAGTAACTAAAGGAAGCAAAACTAAATGCTGGACTATGAGAATGGGAGATATGCCATATGTGACGGCTCCAGTGTGGTTCTTCATTTATTGCTTGTTAACTTGTGACTCTTATTCAAGAGTTCCCACTTAGATATGCTTGGCACTTATAGCAGATTTGGCATGCTGTCCCGGGAGAGAACCCTGAGCTCGGAGATATTTGAGCCCAGGGCTCCCGCCCGGTCTAGAAGCATATCAGGAGAACCGAGATCAGGTAGGTCTCGATCGCTCCCCAAAAAATGCCTCTAGCTCGGGACAGCAGCCGAGTATTTCAAAGAATTTCCCCCAAAAAGCTAGAAAGTTTTTACTATATCCGGCTGCTGGATATAGTAATTAAGGAATGAAGCAAGAGTAGGGGGCTCCAGTTGGAGCAAAGTTTGAAACTGACTCCTGTGGAAGCCAGAGCGGGGGAGGGGGTTGGGTGGAGACTAGTGAAGGGGGGCCATAAGGGGTGGGCGGGGTTGGCTCATTAAGAGTCAAAAATATGCTTGAGGAACATTCCAAACGGAGATAGAGCAGGGAAGTGGCAGCGCTATATATAAATATATATGTATATATGAGAGTATATATATATATATATATATATATATATATATATATATATATATATATATATATATATATATATATAATGGGGTAATCTAAGGCCTGGAGGGGGTAATCAGGAGACTTCTGTGAGTCAGAATGGGCGCTGCGGGAGTTGGGTGCAGCAATTTTTTATTTTATTTTATTTTGCCATCTCTAGCAGAAATCGTGAAGTGTGATTTGGGCGGTGGTGATTTCTGCTAGAGGGTGAGTGGCAAGTTCGGCCAGACTCTTGCTGGAGTCGATGCTCGTGGAACACTCCGACTGGAGATAGAGCGGGGAGTGACAGCGCTCTATATAAATATATATCTATAACCGAAAGTCCATAGATATACATATATAATGAGTTTCAGTGGCCTGGGGGGGGCAGTGACTGACCCCTGCGGGGGTCGGCGCCCGGGGAACAGGGCAAGCTGGCCTACTCTAGCAGGAGTCTGGGAAAGGGGATTTGGAAAGTGAAGACTCCTGTTAGAGGGTGACGGGATGAGTTAGGTGCTCGAGGAACACTCCTTTAGGAGATGGAGCGGGGGAGTGACAGCGCTATTATAGATATATATATATATATATATATATATCTATGTACAGGTGTATATATATATATATATATATATATATATATATATATATATATATATATATATATATATATATATATATATATATATATATATAAAATAAAGATTGCTAAGGCCTGGAAGGGACGGTGAGACGACCCCTGTGGGGGTCATAGCTCGGGGTAACACTTCTGCGGAAGTCAGAGCTTTAAGGGGGGGCGGGGTCCGGCAGGAGTCGGGAAATGGGAGGGGGCTATGAAGACTCCAGCGGAAACGGCCAGGGTGGCGGGGTGACGGGGGGCTTGGATGAAACTCCAATTACCCATGTGGCTGGGGAAGGAAACTGAGTGTTACTCAGGCTAGAAGGAAGAAAAAGAAGAAGGTAAGATGGCTGGGTCATGCCCTCGCCCTTGAGTGGATGTGGGATTATGGCTGACAAGAGCCATCTGGGCTTCTTTGGGGGGCCAGTGGCTAGGACACATGTCTTGAAGGCATCAGGTGACCACCTTTCTAGGATCTGGATTTGTTGCTGCCCTTTGTACTTCTGTGATGGCTGCTCATATTCTGAAACATAGTATACAGGAATGAGAGAAGTAATTCAACACCTTTAATACTTTTCCCACACATTTAAAGACCTTATCACCACTTTCAATCAAAAATGCTGGCGAGATTTATCTTACGGAATATTTACTAAATATTAAATAAATTAATCCAACTAAACATTTGAATGCAGAAACATGTATATTAAAATCTAGCCGATTCGACAGGTTGTCACCTATAGAGCTGCAGACTGATAGTGTTGCAGTAAACAAGCGGCAAGCTGTCAAACCTAGTAGAATTTTACTGATTACGTAACTACTTAGTATCCTGATATTCAAGCTTGAATACAGTCAAACTTTAGCATACGATGATACCTTGTACAACAATAAATGTATTACCTTGTAAAGGAATCTAAGACTTTAATACTTTAAGCCCTCAAACTCCTCTATATTGACTTATCAGCCCCCAACACCTTCTGATACTCCGGAGACACCCTGTGTAAGAGTGACTGAGAGTTGATCTGGGGGATACCTGTGGAGCAAAGAACTGCTATAAGTATCTCTAAATCAGAATCGTGTGACAGGGCAGTTGTGTCATCTATAAATGGGAAGAAGAGGGGGGGGCAGGGGTTTGCAGAGGGAGAATGAGGCTCGGCGGAGCGACTCTGCTATAGCGGAAGTACAAATGATAGTCAGCATTGGAGCATTATGAGTGCTAAATATTGTCAATAGTGATATAAGGAGTAAATGGGGGGGGGGGGGGGTATATGAATATAGTATCAAGGGTGTGGGCTGTATGGACGGAAAATATCTTTGCGAAGAGTGTAAATGCATTAGGAATGAATGAAGAGTGTGATGGGTTGAATGAGGGCAGTTTCAGGAGCTGGCAGTCTTGAACTCTAAAATGGAAAACAAGAGAGAATTAGAAATGAAATCTTAGCAACATGGCACATGTACAGCAGACATGATTAATTGTATTGGCTGATATTCGTGGGAGGAGTCTTCATAAGTGTATGGATGATTGTGAATGGAAGCTCCTTTGTTAATGCATGTTCCAATACTTAATGTCAATGTGCCAGGGTTGTAGAAGTGGGCATTTGTCCTCCTGCAGGGTGGTAATTAGAAGGAGAACTGAGCGTATGGGGCGTTTCTATGCTGGAAGTCCTGGAAACCTCTTGGAGAGCTGGTGAGATGATGATGGAGTGGAGTTTAAACCCCTTACTGATATAGAAGTTTTTAAAACTCGAATGTATTTAACACAAAGTATAAGTATGAAAGGCTACTCCATGGCCAGAAATGTCCTCCTCTTGTTTGTTGCAGTCAAGCAGGAAATTGATTCTTACTGTCATTATAAACTGACTGACGTTCAGGTGTATTGATATGAGAGTCACAATTGGTGTGATACAAAAGGGTTACTGCTTGATGTGTAGGTTGTCTATCACTTGCTGGGTAATACTCATTTCAGAATTTTATTTACAATTTTTTTTTTTAATGTATATATAATTATTAATAAAATGTAAATATATCAACTGCCTACATCAAACTTAAAAACGATGTTGCCACTTAATAGGAACTGTGTGAATGTAATGTTTATCATGGCTTTACTCCATCCTTGATAAGTAACATGTATGTAATCTCAACATGATTGGAAATCTTAAGCTTATTTGGCCGGGATCAAAGTCTCTGCACGCAGTCCATTCATGAATTTGTCGGGAGAGAAGGCGGGACCATCTCCAGTTTTGGAAAGCTCATTGGATGGTGATACTTCTCCTTTAAGCTATTGGCTCCTTGGAGTCACGGTCAAGAGTTCAGAGTGCAAAGGCCGGCGGCCATTTTGTAGATCAGATCGCTATAATGTTTATGCGTGAAAGTATGGCTCCACTCTCGCCAGCAGCTGGTTTGGATATCAGTGCACCTTTTCATGGATGTATATCGACGAATGAAGGTGTTGTGGACATATGTTTATGGATTAGATTGCCTGGTCATTTGCCTTCGAACTATTTCAGCTGTCGGAATGTTATGGATCTGCAGACCAGCGGGAGGCTGAGAGGTGAGTTCTTCATTTAAAGCGTTCTATTCACGCTGTTCTCGCCAGACTTCCCTTTAAAGCATGCACGTTACCGAAAGTGGACCGCTAACGTTAGGTGATCAGTTCGGCTTCATTCCGGTGGCTTGAATCGCCGGCGTCATAAGTTTAGACGAGGTTGTGGCTTGTGTAGTGAGGGGCAAATGAAGTAGAAGATGGAAGACTTGATATGCCGGCTTCTAGCGGGGATTCTGGCTCGATTGCTGGCGAGGCAGCTGCTGGAGTTTTGAGGAGAGCGGGGTTCTGGTTGGAGAAGTTGTTGTTGTTGTTGTTGTTGATGATGATTGTTTGTTTGTTTTTCCATGCCAGAAGGTTGAATGATGCTGAAGCGTAGTTTAAATGCTGGAGCGTTTGTAGCGGGAAGCATTCTTCCAAAATGAAGATAGTGCAATGAGGAGAAAGTGATCCATTTATACTAAGCTAGGATCATTCTGATTGGATTATTACTGATTACGGATGAGTGGCCAGCGGTGCACAATCATATCACGTGCTCCTCTCGAAATTAGTTTATGAAACTTCACTTAGCAGCAAACATTTCCTGCATACCGGTGCGCGTTTCCTATTACTGTAGCTCACTCCAGCTCAGTTACATCTGTAGACTTTTGAGCATGAATTGCATGTTTCAGGTTTGCCACAGAAGTTCAGTTGGGTTTAAGTGTGGCTCACAAAGTGTCTTTTTTGCGTTTCTTTCTTGTTTATGGTGCTTGCATAAGCATATACACATCTGCTGAATACAAAAGAAAAAAAAAGTTTATTGTTTGTATAGACTTCTTCATCCTGTTGTTTTGTAATTGTTTACAGAAAATTTTGGAAAAAAACATTTATCATGAACCTTTTATTCATTTAGAATCTTCATTGTGGTTTTTCTCCTTTTTTCTCAGCATTTTCAGGAAGTGACAAGCATAAGATGTTCTCACCTCGCAGCGCTTGAGCTCAGTGCAGTTGTTGACATGAGATATGAAGCTGTTTGGACTGTGTTTCTCTGCTGGGGTCATGATGATCTGCTGCTGCTGTCTTATACATGTCAGAGGTCAGTCAATTCAGAGTGATTAACTGTATACATGGGTGTTGTATATGACACATCATTTTTCTTATATCTAGCTCTTGTTCATGTGTTTTCACACAGGCAATGGTGTTTGTCAAAGGAAGTTTATTAAAAGAATAAATGTAACCACTGAACTGGAGTCTAACGTCCTGCTGCCTTGTCTGTTTGATCCAGATCTCTTTAGATCTTTAAAACTGAGCACAAATTCAACTGCTGACTGGAGTCAGATTAATACAACTGTTCAGCACATAGTAGAGATCAAAGTAAATGGTGAATCAAGTTTCTGGGATAACAGACGTGGTAGAATTAAAGCTTTCTCTTCTCAGTCTGGATCTGGAAACTTCTCCATCCTCATTAATAAAGTGCAGAGCTCTGATCTCGGTCTCTATCAATGTGAACTCTTCAGAGAATTCAACTGTTCTCTGGCCTATACAGAAATCAGTGAGTGCTTGATTTTTACATATTTACATGGACATTATGTTTAAAAAGTGATATTACAAGTGGAAAAAGTTATAGTGATTTACATAAACTGTCTCTCTGATCTTGATCAGGTCTCGCTCTTGTGGAGTTTTTATTTCTTGATAACTGGCAGCTCGTGATTCCAGCAGCAACAGGAGGAGGATTTCTGCTTCTCTGTCTCGTCTCTCTCTCTGTTTACTTTGCGTGGATAAAACGTGAGTCACTGCAAATGTTACTAACTTTTTAATGCTATACGCACTATTCAAACAGATATGGCTGAAAAGCAAACAGTAGGTAAATAAATAAATTAAGCTGTATATAAATGGTTAAAGAATTTATACAATAAAATGTTATAATCAATACATATTTTATCAAGTGCCTCTGAAATGATCAGCTGAGAAGCCAACTAAAACTGAATTTCACCCAAAGTATTGTATAAGTGAACTCTTCAAGCTTCTATTGCAGATTTTAGTTTTGTTCATTCCACCGATGAATCATCCAAAGGGTGAACTATCCCTAAAATAGCAAAAATTTATTTTTTAAAATTGAACATGTTGGGAAACCTGGCAATTAGATTAACAATGAAATATATAGCAAATACAGTTCAAGTCAGAATTATTAGCCCCCGTTTATTTTTTTTCTCCCTAATTTATGTTTAACGGAGAGCAGATTCAACACATTTCTAAACATAATAGTTTTAATAACTCATCTCTAATAACTGATTTATTTTATCTTTGCCATGATGACAGTAAATAATATTTGACTAAATATTTTTCAAGACACTTCGATAAAGCTTAAAGTGACATTTAAAGGCTTAACTAGGTTAGTTAGGTTAACTACACAGGTTAGGGTAATTAGGCAAGTTATTGTATATCGATGGTTTGTTTTGTAGACTATTGAAAAAAATCTAGCTTAAAGGGGTTAATGATTTTGACCTTAAAATAGTTTTTTAAAAATTTAATATATATTTTTATACTAGCTGAAATAAAACAAATAAGACTTTCTCCAGAAGAAAAAAATATTATCAGACATACTGTGAACATTTCCTTGCTCTGTTAATCATAATTTGGGAAATATTTAAAAAAGGAAAAAAAAAGGGAAGCTAATAATTCTGACTTCAACTGTATATCAATAAAAATAATAATTAAAAAATAATGTCAATAAAGCCTTTTGGCTTAACACAGCAAACTGAGCCAATGAAGGCGTCTCGGCTGACCACGATTTGATGCATATCCTTTATTTGTGAACTTTACATTATTCTGCTAGAACAAGTATAAAACTGAGCAGAACTGGTCAAAGGTAACCCCCAAATCAGTTTCTTTAAATGAGAATTTAGTTGACAATGCCTTGGATTATTTTCTTTGCAGGCACAATTTAACAAGATTAGGTGTGACAAACAGTACAATTTTACTTTATGGAAACAATCTTCTCTGTTTTCAGGGCAAGCACTCATCAGTGCACCAGTTGAACACGGAGCAAACAACTGTCTTAACAGTAAGGAGAAATATTCTTAATTTACAAATATTCAACTACATAAAAATAACTATGGTCTAAAATGAGTTGGTGTATTTTATAAAGTGATGCAAAAAAATGTGCTAATGGTTTAATAATTTGTTATGTAAATAAAATGTACTAATTGTTTTCAAGATATTTCAGGACAAACAGATAAAATATATCATATAAATCCCTTGTTCACAACCCCTTAGTGTTCCTGTAAAAAAGAATGCATACCCAAAGTAAATTGCATGCTATTTTTGAACCATTTTTAGCACAAGCATGGCTTTGGTCTTTTTTGAAAGATGACACAATGAGGTTTATTCCTTAATAGTCCGAATCACTGTAAATGTTATTGGAATTAAGTTATTAAACGTTAAACTTAAGACACAGTGAAAAATAAAGAAATAATTTAAAAACCGCCTAAAATTTTTATCTTGCCTAATGCCTGCACAAGTCTATTACTAAGAGATATTAGTTTGAAAAGACAATTGAATCAAAGCTAGTGTTTTATGAAGTGATGTAGAAATCTTGGCTGATGATTTAATACATTGTTATATGAATAAAATGTAATAGTTGTTTCCTCAGATATTCCAGGACAAACAGATGAAGTAACCTATGCATCAATTGATCATAAATCCCGTCACCACCAGGAAAGTGAAGGTAATTATTATTGCAGTGAAGCATTGCAGACGTTTTGCTTGTTTTGCACATCCAGCATGTGAAATGTGGATTTCATGAAACATTTTCTCATGATCTTTTTATCTACTTCCTCATCAGTTCTTGCAAATAAAAGTCCCACAAATCCATCTAAATTCGAGCATATCAACTCAGAGACTGTCCTGTACGCTGCTGTCAAAAGAAGAGACAAGTGAGCTGCAAAGAATCCAAATCAAAGAACTCTCTCTTTTATTACTTAGATTTTGCCTGCAACCATCTTGTGTAGTTTGGAAAATGTTGTTTAGCATATCTTGGAAATAAAATGACCATTTAAAATAGGAGAATTATGTAATTTCATGGGGATTTGAATTAGATATAGGTTTTAAGTTTTAAAATAATTCAAGTGACTAAAATGTAGTAAATGAGGAAGATCCACAAACCTTGTCTGGATCAAAATCAAACAAATATTAACATTTGTTGTAATAACTGTATCAGTAGCAACAAGCTGACTTCCCTTAAAAAAAGGGAATAAATCTATTTTGGAATTGTTTATTTGGCTCAACTTTTATTGTTTTGCACACAGTTAACTTACTTAATAATTTGAAAGGGTAATTAATAGTTACAAGTGTCCAGCTTTCTTCAAAGTATCTTCTTTTGTGTTCAACAGACGAAAGCAAGTCAAACAGGTTTGAAACAAATACAAAAAAATTCTGAAGGTCAAGATGCTTAAAGCAAATCGAGAGTGGAAATTTTAACATTCATCAACAACAGTTTCTGTGTCGTGTGCTTGGTTAAGTCTATTTGCAAAATGTCTCTCACACTATTGCTTTGTTTTTATTTTCCTATTTCTCAACAACAGTAACATTGGAGTAAATTGAAAAAAATGCTGAAAATGAGATGTGTATATGTATATGTAATTACTGATCTTTTTTAAATGTTTATAAATGTTCCATCAGTGTTTCTACAAAACAAACCTCTACATGAATGTGTTTATACATTAACATTTATTCTGTCAGTTTCATAAGAAGGAGATTAAAGTTAATAGCCGGTTAGCTGAATAAAATATTACTGTAGATTCACTGTGTAAATTGTGAATTTATACAATTTGGAATTTACACATGAACTGAAAAGTTTACATCACTTATAGTTTTTCTCGTATACATTTTCTTAAAATTGTAATTTTGATCTAATTAATTTTTTAAGTTTACACGTATTTACCATAATAAAATCTTATCTGCACATTTGAATTCAACTATTTAAAGTAAAATGTTTAAGTTGTTCTAAGATTATCAAGATGAACTCTGAAATACAAAGCTTTTCAGACTTTATCTGTCACATACAGTATATCAGCGTCACATACAGTTGAAGTCAGAGTTATTAGCCCCCCTTTGAATTGTTTTCTTTTTTTCAAATATTTCCCAAATGATGTTTAACATAACAAGGAAATTTTCACAGTATGTTTATTAATATTTTGTCTTCTGGAAAATCTTATTTGTTTTATTTTGGCTAGAATAAAAGCAGTTTTTTACTTTTTTAAAAACATTTTAAGGTAAAAATGTTTAATTTAATTTAATGTCTACAGAACAAACCACTGTTGTACAATAACTTGCCTAATTACCCTAACCTGCCTAACTAACCTAGTTAAACCTTTAAATGTGAATGTGTCTTGAAAAATATCTAGTCAAATATTATTTACTGTCACGGCAAAGATAAAATAAATCAGTTATTAGAATGAGTTATTAAAACTATTATGATTAGAAATGTGTTTTAAAAAAAATCTGCTCTCCGTTAAACAGAAATTGTGGAAAAATAAACAGGGGGCTAATAATTCAGGGGGGCTAATAATTCTGACCTTAACTTATATATTCATGCTTGATGGTTAATGTTGACCGTCAGTTTTGTGGGAGACAGAAAGTCTGTATTTTTAAAAATTGCTCCATAAATAGTTCAAAGTATTTTTACATCACATGCATGAAAGGATGTATTCTGTTTTATTTGTTTAACAAGTAAAACATGTTTTTACTGTATGTATAGCAAAACATTTTTAAATACTGGTTCATGCAACTGGGTCTCACTCCAGCGACCTTTGAGCATGAATTGCATGTTTCAGGTTTGCCACAGATGCTCAGTTGTGTGGCACACAAATCAAAGTGTCTTTTTTGTTTTTCTTACGTGCTTGTATGTGGTGCTTATATATAAAGATTGTGAATACAAAACAAATTAAATGGAAATCAAATCTGAAAATGTATTTCAGCAAAACTGCTATTCACAAACTTCTTGAACCTGTTGGTTTGTAATTATTTAAAGGAAAATTTGGAAATAATGTTCGTCACAAACCTGTGATTTATTTAGAGTTATCATAGCCCCTTTTTTCAGCATTTTTAGGAAGTGACAAGTGTGAGAAGTTCTAAACCCACAGCTCTTGAGCTTAGTGCATTTGTTGAGACATGAAGCTGTTTGCACTGTCTTTTACATGTCATAGGTCAGTCAATTCCGATAGATTTTTCCGTATACATGGGTGTTGTTTATGATCTATTTAATGTTTTATTACATCTAGCTTGTGTGAATGTTTTTTTCCACACAGGTGATGGTGTTTGTCAAAGAAAATGTATTAAAAAGAATAAATGCCTGTTAGATCCAGAAAATTTTGATTAAAACCTGAGCATACATTCAAATGCTGTATGGATTCACATTAAAGGGCATCCTTAATAACAATCATCTTTTGTAAGCTGTTTGGACAGAACTGTGTGTAGGTATAGTGTGTCCACAGTAATATTGGGGGATATAAACACAATAAGTCTCTTTTTTTTTTATTCCCTGACGTTAAATATGATGTTATATTATCCTTATCCCAGCAATTTTGAGGCTAACCGGAACATGAAGTAAGAGTGTGGTTTCCCCACCCACCGAATTGATTGACAGCTGCGTAATAACATGTCTCCTTAGTAACACAAATAATCATATCAACAAGATAGGACAATCATAAAGCAACTGGGATTAAAAGACCTGTTCAGCTCTCTGTGATTATCAATCATCATCAAATGTAATCAAGAATTAGTTTTACAAGTTTAAAACGTTTTTAAAACAGTGCATGTTTGAAATAAAGACAGTAAAATCATCACCCCAGCCACGTGTCTACAATTATAAAAGAAGATACTTCAATCCCAGTTTGTGGATGTTAAATCATGTTTGTTTTGTACATTAACATAACGGACATCCATACAGTAGTGTAAATTAATGTGTATCCTGTCATATTTGCCATGCAAAAACAATTTTAAGTTAAATGTGCACGTGTACAAACCTTGTAACAACATTGTGCGACTCATCATTGTAGAAAGACTTGAATTAACTCCACAACAAATACATCAAATAATCATTGGGAACGTTCTTACTGTAGTTTTTCTTATCAATGGTAGATTAGCTTCCTTTTTATCTGTCACTGTGCTGTTTATCTAAAGAAGGCTTCACAAATCAGAGCCATAAAGAGAGAGATGATAGGCAGGGGGTTGAAAATCTGCATGTACAGAGAGCTAATAAATAATCTGATGAGTGTTTTGGGCTGAAATTTTACAGACACATTCTGGAGACACAAAAGACTTATCTTGAAAAGGGAGTAAAATAGGTGCCCTTTATTACAGCTGTTCAGCAAATTACAGGGATCAAAGTAATTGATGAATCAGGCTTCTGACATGGTAGGATTAAAGCTTTCTCTGCTCAGTCTGGATCTGAAAAATTCTCCATGCTCAACTTACAAAGCTCTGATCTTGGTCTCTATCAATGTGAACTCTTCAAAGAATTCAACTTTTCTCTGTCCTATACAGAAATCAGTGATTGATTGATTGATTGATTGATTGATTGATTGATTGACTGATTGACATGGATATTATTAGGCTATCAATGTTTAAAAACCTGAAATTACAAGTGGAAGAATTTAAAGTGTTTCCATAAGTTGTCTTGGCCAGGTCTCGGTCTTGTGGAGTTTTCATTTTGTACTAACTGAGGTGAGTTTACTCAATAATTTCAAAGGGATAATTTTCCCAAAAATGAGAATTTACTTAGCATTTACTGACCCTCAAGTGGTTTCATATAGGTTTCTTTAATCTGTTGAACACAAAAGATAATTTAACGAATATGAATTCGAGGATTACAAGTGTCCAGCTTTCTTTAAAATATCTTCTTTTGTGTTCAGTAGGAGAAAGCAAGTCAAACAGGATTGGAACATTAAAAAGTGAATAAATGAAGACAGATTTTTCAGTTTTGGGTGAACTCTCCCTTTTAAAAAAGTGTGTAAACCCATTGTGTTAAAGTCAATGAATCGCATTTTACAACGTAGCCTCTCTGTGTACAGAGTTAGATATTTTCTTTGAGTTCAGCTGCATGAGGCTGTGAATCATGACTTACTGAGAACTGAAGAGTGTGAAACTTAGCTGAGCTTTAGTCTGTCACTTAAACCACGGAAATCTTTTCATATGATCAGACAAGAACCACAGATGCAGAAGCAGGATAAAACAGGTGCAGAAGCAGTAACCGTCATCCTAAAAGTAAAGCATTACAGATTAAAGCATTACAGATTGATGCATTAGTTAAATAATAGATGTAAAGCATTTCATATTGAAGATGAAGGTCAAGATCCTTAAGGGAAATCGAGAGTGGAAATTACAACATATGTCAACCACAGTTTCTGTGTTGTGTGCTTGGTTAATTCTAGCTGGAAAGTGTCTCTCACACTATTGCTTCTTCTTTTTTCCTTTTTTATTCTTCTCAACAACAGTAAATAATGGGGTAAATTAGGAAAACTGTTGAAAATGAAAAGTTATTCTACATTGTGTGCACTGGTAATGTCTTTTCAAAAATGTCCTTAAATGTTTCATCAGCATCTCTTTAAAACAAACCTCTACATGAATGTGTTCAGACATAAAAACATGTATTCTGTCAGTTCCATAAGAATGAGATTAAGCTTAATGGCACATGAAGCTGAATAAAGAATTACTGTAGATTTACTGGAGTTAAGTAGATTTACTTGATATCTTCTAGGCTTTGTCTTACAAAAGCTATCAAGATAGATAGATAGATAGATAGATAGATAGATAGATAGATAGATAGATAGATAGATAGATAGATAGATAGATAGATAGATAGATAGATAGATAGATAGATAGATATCTCGTCAAACTACTTATTTAAAATAAGATGAAACCACACTATTCCTGAGTATTTTAGGGGACAACTTAATTTTTTTATGTTCGTTCCACTTAAAATGGTAAAAAATGAAAAAGTTTACTTCATTTCTTCGTGTTGTCCAAACACTAATCGATTGTGTGGAATCCAACTTTTTTTTACAGATAGATTTTATTTAAATCCTAGTTTAATCTTAATTTGTTTAATCTTTATTTCCAGGTTAAATAATTTTTTGGTATGGCTGAACTCATTAATGGCTAAATTGAACAGATATTTAAGACATAGGATTGAGGATCTTTGTGTATCTTCAAATACAATTGAAGCCAAAATTATTCGCCCTCCTGTACATTTTTTTCAATATTTCCAATATGA